AGCCAACGAACTTCACGTCATGGTTTTTTGTATCCAGTAGATTTATGGACTCAATATAGACATTGGTTTTATGACACATTACAACCTGCCTAGCTTCTGATTCATCAGGTACCTGCCTGACAGCTTTTCTACCTTGTACTCTATCACTGCACTGCCTCCCTTCAGCCTTTTTTTCTCTGCTCTCTCCCTTCTCTGCTTCACCCCTCTGCCTCACCTTTTGTCATTGCTATCTATTTACATTTTTACTTACATCCTGCTGTGCTTTTAGCCTCTTTCATTTCTTTTCTTGGAGTCTCAGAACAGCAGAGATTCCCTATGCCTGAAGAAGGGTGATTGCACTTGAAAGCTTGCCAAGAACTTTTTTCCAACTACCCAGCTGGTCTAATAAAAAAATAATCACATCTAGTCAGAGAACCTTGCCTGTCATTTAATGGCCAGCCAAAGACAAGGGGGTCTTTGGCTAGCCATTAAACATACCCTTGTAGGATGCTAATTCTCAATGATTGCTTTTCTCAAGAGTGAGTAATGGAGGAACAATTAAGTTAATTATAGCCCTACTACGCAGTCCTGACAAAAATAGAAAGCATAAAAATAACATTCATATCAAATACCACAACTTATACAGACGTAATAAAGATAATGCTAAACACAGCTTAATGCCACCTATCCATAGAGACTACACATGCTATATCAGCAAAATAAATCCAGGAAAACATGCATGACATTCCACAAACACCTCAAATATTGTGGATTCATGACACTAATATGGAAGAAGCAGGGGGAGGTTTAGTGGTGGAATGTATTTTTTTTTGGATCAACTGTGTAGTTGGGAGAGATGTTAGACAGACTTTTGGCCACAGTGCACTTCCTTAGGTCTGGGAAAGGAGCAAGTGCAACATAAGCTAAACACCAGATAAAACAATAGATTGTGTCCTATTCTGTATGTTGAAGAAGATAAGCTCTTGCGAAGTGAAGAAAGGTAGCTACTCATGTCAGGCCAAAGTGGAGCAGGGTGGCACCTTATGGAAAGTAGTTAGTTCAGACAGGCCTGAGCTTTTGCAGGCAACAACCTACTTCAGTAGACTGTCGCATATGAAAGCGTATGTTTTTCTGAATCAGTCTCTAAGGTGCCATCCTGCCCTGCTTTCTGCCTTAAGGGAGTGGAAGAAGATAGTAAACTTAGAGCAAAGAAAAAAGTTGGCAGAAGTCAAGGCAAGATAAGAGAAAGGCAGTTTAATAGATAAGCTAGTTGTGTAAAACAGGGCTGTCCAATTTGTAAGCAGCTGAGGGCCTCAAGCCAGCTACAGCATTGCAACACTCCTCCCCCAGCACCATACTATGTGGGCACTCCCCTGCTCCCCCTGCTGTGTGTTGGGACTCTTGGTCCTCTCCCCAGCTCCCTGAGCTGCAGGCTGTGCTGCCATGGCCCAGGCTACTCAGAGGAAGGGGCAGGGAGCAGCAGCCTGTGGGCCTTGGCTGCTGCTGCTTCTGCAGCCAGAGAATGGAGAGTGGCAGCTGGGCAGGAGCTGAAGGCTGCACATTTACCCCTTGTGGGCCACATGGAGCCCATGAAATGTAAGCTAGACAGCCCTAGTGTAAGAGCGCAAAACCATTCAGTAGAGAAAGGAATGTTTTTGTATGTGCTGCTCCAATAAAAGAAATTACCAACAATTGTGAGAAGCAAGGTTATTTCCCAGACCATCAACACTCCAGTCCTGTTCCAATACATTTTTATTTTAAACAGGCCACCTAGTTGCTGGGTACTGTCATAACTTCTGGAGAGCATGGAATTGCTGGGTTTAGACAGGAATCTGATCTATGCTGTGAGCCCAGGGAGCTGAAGCCCAAGCTTTGGTCTGTATGTGGAAGAATCAAATAAAATCTTACCCCCTCTTAGGTTTATCATCTGAGGAGGGAGCAGAGCTGAGACTCATGTTTTAAGGGCTTAGAGCACTCTTTTACAAAAAACAAAACAAAACACCCTAGGGAAGACTAGGCTAAGCTCTATTAGTTCCATGACTCTGGACCATAATCTGTTCCATTTGAAGTAACTGGGCTATACCCTGCCCTCTGCAAATACCCTAGATGTAATTCAAATCGTGGTCATGCCCTGTTGCCCCAATTCAGATGCTTTGTCTCCTATATAACACCTGGAACATCAATACAACACTCACCTCAAGTGACAATCCTTGCTTTTGCTGTTAACAATCAACACTGTGGGGTTAGGGCACTGGAAGCCACTATAAGAATTCTGGGTGTAGCCAGAGGACTACGTCCAGGTTGGATTTTAGTGCTGAGGCAGCAATGGATGAAGCAGTTATTAGGGTGAGAGCAAGAACAGATCCAGGGGCATGCTCACATCCCTTTTTTAGACCGTGCCAAGAAGCAGCAACTTCAGACATTTTTTTTAAGTCCCCAAATCAGGTAAGAATTTCCCCCCTTCTTTCTATTCTGTGCTCAGTGATGTCCCCTTCCTCCCCTGCTGCTGGCCCCAGCTGACCCAGGGCAGGGGATCTCCAGAGTTGCTTCTGCCCTGCAGGTTGTAAGAGAATAAAACCTAGTCATCATTCCCCCTCTTCCCTCAGAAGCAAGCTCAGGGAGAAGGTATATGCCTGTTACTGCAGCCATCCCTGGTTGAGCCTAGCTCCCAACTACCCCACTGGAGCAGGGCAGAAGCAGCTTTGGAGATTCCCCCACCCTAGTGCAGCCAAGGACAGTGGCAGCAGTAGGCAAGGAAGTAGGTGAATGAGAAGGGAGGGCTCTGCAGAGTATTCTGGCCGTCCACTTGGGCCACTGTGACGGGTTCAGGTTCTAGGGTTGACCCAGCTCTAACTATAGGGTCCATCACCTCCTTACTCACCCACCATGTCTTTGATTTTATTGGGAGGGAGGCTGCCTGAGGGTCTTGAAGCAAGCCTGCCATTGTTCCTATCTCAGGTCTCACCCCACCCCAGCCCTCTTGGGCTCCAGGCCCTTTGATCCATCTCCCCTCCCCCAATCTGTGCCTCCCTTGGCCGCCTCTGCCTTTTTCCCCCCCATCTTGCTGACTCCAAGTCTAGTGTACTCTCCATCTGTCTCATCCCTCAGAGCTCTTCTCTATTCAGCTTCCATGGCCAGACTGCCTGACCTGCCTCAAGGGTTGCCTTGCATCTCACTGGCCCTGCCCCTGCCCCTTTCTGGTGACTCCCCAGGGTTGCCTGTGAGTGTCTCCTAATTAAATTTCATTTATTACCTAGTCTCCAGGACAACCCAGCTCCAGCTCTGCCCTGCCTCCCTTGCAGGGTTCTCTCTAGGCTCCTCCTTTCAAAGTGACAGAAAGCCCCAGGCTCTCTGTTAGGTCACTCATGCCCTGTCACTCTCCCCTTGAGCTACAGCTTTCCTACTTCCAGTGGGAAAGTAGTACCACACTCCTTGCTCAGAGCTAGATGTCTCAATTTCACCCTCCTGAGAGAGTGTTCGACTTAAGACCCTACCGCCCGATAGATCTTGTTCACCGGTGAAGCATAAAAAGGGACTTTCACCTTTAACTACAGGTTAAGCACATGGCACAGACCATCAGTTTCCAGTTTATGAACGAAACCCACTGCCCCTTCTTTCTCACTCATACCGAGGCCACCCCAAAAATAAGCATTCACCAAACAGTTTTGTTTTTGTTTTTTTCACCTCCCTGTGGGGAGCACTTTCAGGGCAGGCATCTCTGCATCAGTTTAGGTTGGAGACAGATGTTCTGAGAGCTTCTTTGGAAGCAGAGCAGCTTGCTGATGGAAACAAGTTCTAGGGAGCAACTGGAGGCCTGTCCACATTTTCTCCTTCCTACTACCCTGTTGGGACTAAAAGGAACATGGTTTTAGTAGCTACAGATTCATACACATGCACACAGAGAAGTATTTCGCAACTAAGAAAAAGTGGGGGGGGGAGCAGGGTTGGAACTGGCCCACCCCACCAACCAATTCCAGTAGCGAATATTTGATTTTAAGGGCTACTGAAGTAGGGGGCTGACCTAGCAACTTCATATCCAGCCACAGTGCCAGAGCCACATTATTTATTTTCATCATCTCAACATACCATTTATTCATAATCGTGATTAATAATACATATAAAAAACTTACTGTACTATAAAGTATTCAGGTACAAGTAGTTGCATGCTTCTTAGCAAGGCCAGCTTCTTAAACGTGTAAGAGAACAATATTTGTATATAGCACAATTTCTTGGTGTGCCATCTAGAATTTCCACATGCACACTCAACTCTCCATGTGCTTCCCTTTATCAGGCTTCCAGTTCAAAGTTAATGAGAACTTTCATGCCAGGTAAATCTGACTCCATCACCAGGACTTAGGAGATTCCAGCATTATGTTGCCACTTGAAACATTTCATCTACCCAGTTTGCAAAAAAGAGCACTATCCTGCAGATCTGTAACAAAGCTGGAAGTTCTTCTCTGTGCGTCAGAACTGTATTAGACGAAGACAGTCAGAGGTCAAATGTTTCAAATGACATCCAAGAATTTGTGTTTCTTTTGCTGGTGCTGGGGATTCTCATTTATGCAGCACTATCAAAGGTGGGACTCTTTGGGTAAACATCAGCAGGGGAAAGGTTCAAAATCTCATTGAATGAAAGGCCTTCATCTTCCGAAGGTATCTCTGCTTCAAACATACGCTGAAGCAATGCATCAACTGTCCTATACCCTAAGAACATAAAAGGCACATGGGTTTCTTTACTGGCAGATACAAATTACCTCCATCCCCTTGATTTACATTCAGGACCCAAATAAGTGAGGTCCTTCTGCAACATGTTCACTTTGGGTAATGTCACAGGGGTGTTCATTCCAACTGCCTGTGTTCTTACTCCCCAACAAGTGAGGGGTAGGACAGCTCTTCGAGTCAGCTCATGTTGAGTCCTGCAAGAGCCCATGAATATAAAGAACTATTTTCCATAGGCTTTACTTCCATGGCATATTTCGTACTTCTCTCTCCCCTCCCCCACTTATTATCAAGCACCCTGAATACATATGGTAAAAGATCAATCTGTTTAAATTAAGTGCTTCTGTTTCATAAGACTTCTGAAGGAAGTTTTGACAGGTTGGGAAGGAGGGGCCAGGAAAGCAGGCAACATATGAAGCCTCAGAACTCAGGATTTCACTCATTTTTGTATCAACAGTGATATTTAATAGGAAACAGCAAAGCTACAGAAAGAACACCTTAGTAGGAGGAAAGAGATATTACATTAAGTACTATGGGAGATTCAGAGTTACCAAAGAATCTGAGTCAGGATGAAAATGGAGTGGATACTAGAAGAAGAGTTCAACAGAAGACAGGCTTCCTAACATCGGGAGGAGAAGCTGAACCACCAAGATTGTTCCTTAAATCAAGTAGCTATTGTAGGAGGTGGAGTGTGTGCTGCAAGGCCCAGGAACGAGAGAGACAAACTGCTACAAGACACATAAACACAGACACTATTAGAACAGCATTTCTGGCTTTGCCAGCCACAGCTTGCATTCTGATTGACCATTGGGCCTGACAGTGCCACAGTGCAATCTGGCCAGCCCAGCTGGCACCACACCGAGCCCATTGTGCTTAATGGACAAGGAAGATTAGCAGAAGAGAAATCCCTTGGGCCACCCACCTGCTCTGAAAGGGGTTTTCTGAAGAGTCACCAGGTGGTTCCAGCAACAGAGTACCATGCAACCGTAAGCAACTTTCCCACTCATCTCATTATGACTTGAGGCAGGAAGAGGAGCCATTTTAGGTTCAGACTTTACTTGGTGGGACTGGAGAAAATGGGGAGAGGGGGAGGCAGGGGAACTTAGTCTTTAAGCATTTCATCAGTTTACTGGGAGCAGCAGAGGGAACTTCCACCAAAGCCAATTTACATGGTGAGGATACTGTGCCACATTGCAGTAGTGACAGTTAGCAACAGCATGTCCAACAGCAGATCATCTTGGCTGACTGGAGGCATGTGGTACCCAGTCAGGGTGGCCATTGGAGGTACTTCAAGAACAAAGGACAGTTACTTTTAGTGCAACTGTCCACACCACCATGAATGTTGCGATTCACAGCTAATCAGCCAGGACTCTCCATCTACAAGCCAGTGGGCCTTTGCACTACAGCTTACAGCTTTGATCAAACGTCTTTGTAGAGTCAATGAGCAAAAAGTTGCTAGTGGGTTCATGCTCTAGAGAATGGCCTGTGGGAACAACCACTTACTTTTAGAAGCAATTTTAAAGACAAGCCCTCTAGATGTCTTTATTCCATCCCCTTCAAGGTTGTTCTCAGTAGTCTCCATGTTGTCTATTAGCTTACCATCCAGTAGCTCTTCCCTTAAAAAAAAAGGGGGGGGGAATAAATTCTCTTTTCCACCCCCCATGAAGCCACTCACCAGTCCAGTCCCACACCCTGCTTTGCTCACTGGCCTTACTGACACTTGTAACTTAAGAGTCATGGCAGATACTTGCACATCTGCACTGGCTCCTCCCCATGCAGAGCGGAGCTCTGGTCAGTCAGGCCCTTCCTGCAGTAGGGAAGCAGGACTCCCACCACTCTAGGAGGAAGGAAAGGGGAAATGCCATTTGGGGCAGGGAAAGCACAAGAGCCATCCCAGGCATAAAAGAGTGTTGATAAGCATGTCACCTGACAGCCACAGACTTCCTGTTAAAAGAAAAAAACTCCAGCCTCAGATAGCAAGCATGCACTGGTCTGCCATTCCCTCTCACAACCCAAAATGTCTGTCACTTAGTCCTGATGCTTTCCTGCTCCCCTCCTTGACACTAGCCCCAAACTTGCTACCCATCCACATGAGAACAACAATCCAGCCCATCTTGTAATGCTCTGGAGAGCTTCCAACTACAGGTCATGCTTCTTCCTAGCTTGCGCCCACTTTTACCCTGTGCTGTGTTCAACACTCAAACTCTGATCACCAGCAGCAATCCCATGTTTCTGGATTCCTAGCCTTTCTGAACAGAATATCATAAAAGTGGGGTAGAGAGACAGAGAGAGAAATGTCAAGCCCAACAGAAGCAAATACTGGATGCCAATTCATAGAAGAGGTCCACTTGAAGACCAGAAAGCTTCATTAAGCAGAGTGCCTCCATAAATTAGTCCATCTGCAACCTTCCTCAGTGCCTCTCCTCTGCAAGTGTGGCTACAGCCATGCAATATCAGTGGAGGACAGCTTATATGGCTCATCTAGGTGAGGGTAACATTCAAAGTAGGCATAAGAATACTACTTCCTAGGACTTGTTCTAGACTAGGGTTTAAACAATTCACACCTCACTGCCTCGGAGTCCAGACAAGGCCCCAGATGCTTGCAACAGAGCAAGAAAATGGCTGTGGCAGAAGAGCAATTTGGGGTACAGAGATCTGGACTAAAGAAATTAATCCAGTTTTGTGGTAGCTATCCTGTTCTTGGAAATAACTGAGCTTTCCCCCAGACATTTTCTATTGCACATTTTTGGGTGATTGAGAAACTGTTGAACTAAACCTGCTCTCAAAGACCTAAACCTCTCTGTCAAAGACAGGTTGTGAAGAGGCAGAGAGATGGAGGAGCTTACGGATATAAATTAGAGAGGTTCTTCAGCGAACAAGGAGAAGCAAACAGGACAGTTTGCAAGCAGTCCCCTGGGAGCAAGAGGAGGAAGGGGAAGAGGCACCAGATCCTGCTTTGGGAAGGTAAGCGAGCCAAGACTGTCCGTGCGTTTGGCTTTCTGAGGCTTGTTTGGTGGGTTTGTACACTTAGAGTAGCTGGATGCCAATTGATCGCTGCCTGGAAAAGAGACCCTAACAAAGGGGCCTAGTCAGTCCAGGCCCAGGAGAGGTATATAAAAGGAAACAGTTCAAGCAACCAGGGGAGCAGTGAACAGAGAGAAGTAAACAGGACAGTTTGCATGTCAGTTTGCTACCCCAGCTAAACCAAGACTTAAGCCCGTTGTTTAACTAGAATCCAGAGCAAGGGAGAATTTGCTTGGAAACTCGCATTCTTTTAGTTTAAGCTTCCTCTGAGAGGAGAGAGGTTTGCCGGGACAAGGGAACCCTTCAGGATCAAGGAACAGCAAACAGGCCACCTACAGAGAAGTTTGCAAGGGAAGGTCTGCTTGTAGATTAGGAGACCCAGAGAGATGGCAGATTCTGAAGCATCCTTGGCCAGGAAGACTTCATCAACTCCATGTTGGAGGAAACCTTTAGGACTGGAGGAAGAAAGAGGGCATGAACTCCCAGGAAGCTGGAAACTTGCAACCTCTGGCTGCAAGAAGTCGTCATTATCTCCATCTGCAGTAGTTTGCCTGGAGAACAGATATGGAGCACTAGCAACAGAGGAGGAGGAACACAATCCATTGCTGGAAGAGGCTAGAGCAGTAATCCCCAAGGTGTGGAGGATTGAAACTACTCCCGTGAAGAAGTGATGGGTGGTAATGGTTGTCGGCTCCCTTCTGCGGGGGACAGAGGGATCCATCTGCCAGCCTGACCTGTTGTCCTGGGATGTCTGCTGCTTGTCTGGAGTCCAGATCTAGGATGTGATGGAAGGATTACTGACACTCATCTGACCCTCTGACTACAGCCCCATGCTGCTTATCCACATGGCCACCAATGATACCATCAGGAGTAACTCTGAGCAGATCAAGTGCGACTACAGGGCTCCAGGTGCAAAAGGTGAAGGGGGGACAGGGGCTCAGGTGGTATTCTTCTCAATCCTTCTGGTCAAAGGGAAGGGCCTGGGCAAGAGCAGATGCATCCTACAGATCAATTCATGGCTGCGCAGGTGACATTGCCAGCAGGGATTCAGCTTCTTCAGCTATGGGATGCTGTTCCAAGAAGGATTGCTGGGAAGAGATGGGGTGCACCTGATGAAGAGAGAGAAGAGCATTTTTGCAGACAGGCTCACTAACCTAGTAAGGAGAGCTTTAAACTAGGTTTGCCGGGGAACGGAGAACAAACCCTGTGGTAAGTGGGGAAGTGGAAGACCTGGAGCAAGAACAAGCAGGAGGGGGCAACAGGGGAGGCCTCATTCTTCCTGAGAAAGTAGGGCAATAAGCTAGTCACCTCAGGTACCAGTGCACAAGATGTGCGGAGACTGGTAAACAAAACAGGAAGAACTGGAAGTCCTTGTAGAGTCACGGAACTATGATGTAATTGGAATAACAGATACTTGGTTGGATAGCTCACATAACTGAAGCACTATCATGAATGGGTACAAACTGTTCAGGAAGGGCAGGCAGGGGGAGAAGGGGAAGAGGAGTTGCACTTTATGCAAGAGAGCCATATGATTGGTCAGAGCTCCAGTATGAAGCTAGAGATAGGCCTGTCGAAATTCTCTGGGTTAGGGTCAGAGGAGAGAACAACAAGGGTGATGCCATGGTGAGGATCTGCTAAAGACCACCAGAATGAGGTAGACAAGACTTTCTTCAGACAACTAGCAGGAGTTTCCAGATCACAGACCCTGGTTCTCAGGGGGGACTCCAAAAATCACCCTAACATCTGCTGGGGAGGGCAATACAGCAGTGCACAGGCAATCCAGGAAGGTTTTGGAGAGTGCTGGAGACAACTTCCTGGTGCAAGTGCTGGAACAGCCAACTAAGGGCCATGCTCTTCTTGACCTATTGCTCACAAACAGGGAAGAATTGGTGGGAGATGCAGAAGTGGATGGCAAGTTGGGCAGCAGTGACCACAAGATGACCAAGTTCAGGATCCTAACAAAAGGAAGATAGGAGAGCAGAGTAAAGACCCTGGACTTCAGAAAGGCAGATTTTGACTCACTCAGGTAACTGACGGGCAGGATCCCGTAGGAGGCCAGTCTGAGGGAGAAAGGAGTCCAGGACAGCTGATTGCATTTTAAAAGAAAATCTTACTGAGAGGACAGGAATAAGCCATCCCAGTGTGCAGGAAGAATAGCAAATATGATAGGAGAACAGCTTGGCTTAGCAGAGAACTGCATGAGCTTAAACACACAAAGAGGAAGTTTACAAGAAGTTGAAGCTTGGACAAATGACTAAGGAAGAGGATAAGAATATTGCTCAGGTATTCAGGGATGAAATCATGACAGCTAAAGTGCAACTGGAGTTTCAGCTAGCAAGGGATGTGAAGGGTAACACGAAGGGTTTCTACAAATATGTTAGCAACAAGAGGGAGATCAGAGGAAGTGTCAGTCCCTTACTGAATGGAGGAGGCAACCTAGTGACAGATGATGCGGAAAAGGCTTAAGTACTCAATGCCTGTTTTACCTTGGTCTTCACAGGCAAGATCAGTTGCCAGACTGCACTGGACAGCACAGTTTGGGGAGAAGGTGAGCAGCCCTCAGTGGTGAAAGAACAGGTTAGGAACTATTTAGAAAAGCTTGATGTGTACAAGTCCATGGGACTGGATGTGATGCATCTGAGGGTACTGAGGGAATTGGCCAATGTGGTTGCAGAGCCACTGGTTATCATCTCTGAAAACTCATAGCGATTGGGGGAGGCCCTGGACAATTGGAAAATGGTAAATGTAGTGTCCATCTTTAAGAAAGGGAAGAAGGAGGATCTAGAGAACTACATACTAGTCAGCCTCACTTCACTTCCTGGAAAGATCAAGCAGCAGGTTCAAGGAATCCATTCCTAAGCACTTGGAGGAAAAGAATAATCAGGAACAGTTGGCATGTCTTCCAAGGGCAAGTCATGCCTGACCAACCCAATTGCCTTCTATGATATGACTGGCTCTGTAGATGCAGGGAAAGCAGCAGGCTTGACTTTAGCAAGGCTTCTGATGTGGACTCCCACAGCATTCTTGCAAGCAAGCTAAGGAGGTATGGGTTGGATGAATAGACTGGAAGGTGGACAAAGCGGACTAGATATAGTCAGGCTCAATGGGCAGTGATCGATGGCTCGAGGTCCAATTAGCAGCTGGTATCAAGGGGCAAGTCCTCAGGCTGGTTTTATTCAATATCTTCATTAATGATCTGGAAAATGGGATGGATTGTACCCTATGCCAGATTGTGGAGGACACAAAGTGGGGGGGGGAGGGGGGGGAGTAGATACGCTGGAGGGTAGGGCTAGGATTCGGAGAGGCCTGGACAAATTGGATGATTGGGCCAAAAGAAATATCATGAAGTTCAACAAGGACATGTGCAAAGTCCAACACTCGGGCTGGAATAAATTCCATGTGCTGCTACAGGCTTGGGACCAACTTCCGCAGAGCTGCTGCTTAGCTGGAAGACCTGGAGGTTACAATGGACAATAAGAGTCAGTGTGCCCTTGTTGCCATGAACAGCAGTGTACTGGGCTGCATTAGAAGGAACGCTGCCAGGAGATCAAGGGAAGTGATTATTCCCCTCTATTCAGCACTGGTAAGACCACATCTGGAGTACTGTGTTCAGTTTTGGGCCCCCACTATAGAAAAATATATGGACAAGCTGCAGAGAGTCCAGTAGATGGCAACAAAAATGGTTTGTGGGGCTCGAGGCACATGATTTCTAAGGGAGCTGGGCTTCTTTAGTGCAGAGAAGACTCAGGGGGCATTTGATTGCAGCCTTTTAAGCTATCTGAAGGGTTATTCCAGAGAGAATGGAGCTAGACTGTCCTCAAATGGTGGAGCAATAGTTTCAAGTTACAGCAAGGGAAGTTCAGGTTGGTTATTAGGAAAGATGACCTCACTAAGAGAATGGTGAATCACTGGAATGCGTTACCTAGAGGTGTCAGAATCTCCATCCTTGCAGGTTAAGGCCCAGATTGACAAAGCCCTGTCTGGAATGATCTAGTAGGGGATGGTCCTGCTTTGAGCAGGGGACTGGATTAGATGACCTCCTGAGGTCCCTTCCAACCCTAGCTTTCTATGAATCTTAGAGAAGTACCTTACAAAAAGAAACAGGGTTGCTCCCCAAAATGAGAGATGTGATTTAAAAACAAAACAAAGAAAACCACCACCAACACCCCCAAATGGTTGCAGGAGTTCCTGGAATCCTGGGTCAGATGCTTGAACAATCGCATTTCTGAGTTAGGCACCATAGAAACAACAGCATCCTTATTTCCCACCATAAGCCATACATGTTGAGACATGCACTGATAGAAACTAGTTCCAGTCCTAGACTACTTACTCTTGGACTCCTACTCCCAGCTCCTGAATTTTCTTCTCAATGGCCGTTTCTACTTCACTCTTTTCAAGTGAATACTCAACGAAGAAAGCTTCAAGAATAAATGCTATGAAGATGCTGAGGGAAACAATGAGCAGAAAGACATAAGCAGCATATTAAGTGTCCCTGTGATGATGGGCACTGCAGAAACATAAGAGTGATTAGTGTATGCCATGGGGTACTGAAGGATTCCTTGCCCATAAGCACCATCAGTAGAAGTCTCAGTCAGTCAGTGGCTGGTTTCCCTGCACATGCCTGGGACCAACAGATGTTGCACTGTACCAATACCACAGAGAGATGGAGGAACTGGCCAAGTCCCTTTCCAGAGCCCTGTTATAAAACTCATGGAGCAACACTTTTCTTCTTCCAGCTCCCATCCCCAGTGCAGCACATTTAGTTTTTTGCCTGCCCCCCAAAGTGATATGCTCATTTATAGCCAGAGTCCTGCCTGCCTCTAGAGCATCCAAGCCATCTGCAAGATGACAACTGCTACTTCCTGTCTGGTCTCATCCAAGGAAGAGACTGGTCATTCCCGCCCCTAAACCCTCTGCTAGCTCAATACCACTCTACCCATCAGTCAACAGGGGGTATTTGTAGGGTAGACCAAGACAGCCTATGCTTTCAGGGCTCAACTATATCCTCTTCACAGCACAGCAGGGCTCCAGGGACTGACTGGACTTTAATCATGGCCTTGTCAGTTGTGCAGAAGTCTCCATCTCAAACTCTCCCCTTCCCCCTTCAAGCAGATGAGCACTGTGCAAAAACATACTTAACAATCATAATAACCACCACAATGTGGAAGGCGATGAAGTACAGCTTTGCAGCCTGATGAGTTACACGTGCAAATCCACCAGCAAGAAGTATAAATAAGAGTTAAGGACTAAAACCAAGAGGAAACGTATCTAGGTGACAAAGGCACCCTGCTCAAGCAGTCAAAGCAGCCAGACTCATTATACCTTGTGACAAGCAAGCTCTCCTTAGGACACCAAGATCTTTCTCCATTCCGACTACACTGAAGTCAAGTGTGTATGGCAGGAAACCTTTCCACTGACTTCACTGGGCTGTATTTACAAATCCGTTTTGAGTATTAAAAGGATATCATGCCACTGATTAACGACCGTTAGCTCCATCAGAACAATGAATGAAGATGCAATATCATTGAAGTTGTTCTTGCAGTATTTTGCTCTAGCAAACGTAGAATCTTTTAAGGCCACGTTTCCACATTCCAAGGCATGAGGGTCAGTGGATCCTGCTGCAAAGAACTGGATTTTTCCTTGGAACACTTCCATACCAATGATAGCAAACATGTAGTATACCACCTGTGAGAGGAGGAAGAGTCATTGGCTTTCTCTGCAGAGGAAGATGTGGCAATTTTGCCAAGCACAGTAATAAAGGGTCTACAATTCTATCATGACAACTTCAAGCTAAACATCCCTTCCATGCGTGTCCCAGCTTTGTGTTTAAATACTGAAACACTTGAGCCAACCATAGTCCAAACAGTAATGCTGTTGGAAGAAAAACTAAGGCTAGCACCAATATTCATAGAGAAGCAAAATCCATGCAAAAAACAAGACTAGGAATTGAACATGCAAGGAAGAGACTTTCCAATAAAATCTTAAGTTAAGGGACCCCAGGATATTCTTCATTCTTATCAATAGTGTACTTTTTTTAGAGACATTCTTGGGAGGTGAAGAAGGGGTTTCTACTTGGCCAGACTGAAGTTCTGGATTCCATACTGGTCCTACACACTTGCCATCACTCCCAGATCCCACACTGATCTCTACTTCTGGTGGCTAGGCAGAATCTCATCCTATCTGATATTAATTTACACCTAAACTAACTCTGAAGACTTGAGTATATGTACACTGTTGTGATTCCACCCTTCCTTTAAACAAGGGCATGCTGCTACTGGATGTGCCAACCCTTTACACTTTAGAGGTACAGTGACAAGACGACTCACCAAAGCCAGCCCGCCAAATGTCAGCATTGTAGGCACAATGTTTATTAGTGTGTTCATGATAACCCGGAACCTAGAGCACAAGGATTCATGAGAACATAGAAAGACTGCACTTTATGAAGATGTTTACTTAGGAAACTATTCCAAGAATCAGCCCCTCTGAACAGAAAGGCAGCACTTTGTTTTGCAGGTGGCCGAGTACATTCTTGGCTAGATTGTGGTTAGTTCCCATTTTCTGTCCTCCTCCACTACTGCGGCAGGGTGGAAGCAAGCAGGTTTTGCCAAAGGCTGTTAGCAGCAGCCCCCTGAGGACACCTAGAACATGCAAGTGCCCTTATTGTGCAGGTACTGCACAGTGTCAGAGGGTCACACTTATTCCTGTTGGGGCAGGAAACTCCATGCCTCAGAATGATTTTTTTAAAAACGGTGGCTCTCAACCATTTTTGTACCAGGACCTATTTGTAAATATTGATGGCCAGTCCCAACCCTGTGCTCCTCAATCCTGACCTGCTGCTTCCTGCCCCCAGCTCCTTACAGGTTATGTGGGGCGGGGGGGGGGGGGGGGGGGGG